ATTAGGCTATAGTGACTGTCAAGTCCAGATATCTATAAGAACATCCCTGAAAAGTGGTCTTCTGGAGTGCAGTGTTTGAATATTCACTATTATTTCAACTCCACTAGGTGCCAAAAAGCTATTAGAAGTCTTCACAGAGTGGGAGACAGACATCTCGGGATTACCTTAATTGAGACCAATTTGTTTCTAGTGACTACTCCATGGCACTAGACACCCTATCCAGGACTCATAAGTGAGGCACTAATTAGCAATTCTAGAATAACTGCATTCCAATTAATCCAAAGTCTTCTAAACAGTAGCTCCTGTGCATTTTTCAAACAATTTCAGAAGTAGAGAAATCTATCATTCTTGGCAACATTGCATATACTCTTGCATCATTTCAGGCACTTTAAATACTACCAAATTCCAAAGTTCAGTCTCAACCTTAGTCCTGGAGTTAGTTCATTAGTTTAGGAGGATTTTAAGAACAGAGAGAATAACATAATTTTCACCAGTGAAGAGGACTAAATAGTCCATTCTGAGTTACTGTCCTCATTTAAAAGATTATGTCCTAAGCTATTCACAGACTCATGTAGGGGTGGTGTTAGAAGCATTTGAACAGCAAATATTATTTTAAATCCTTAGACCCTATAGAAAATAAAATAATCAAGCATATGAATTATTACATTTATGTAACAAAGCTTTCATTGCACTATTCCATCTTAGCATTAGCAACAGGTGTCTCTTGAGATTCAGAAAAAAACTACTTTGTAAAAGCAACAAATTCTGATATACAATTCTAACGGCTAAGTAGTAAGCTAAGTAACAGTTTTCATTGACTCCGTATCTTCCATTAGAAAAATTAAGTATACATTTTAATAAAATGAAGTTTTTCAACATAACACCCCAGAGAACATGTTCATAACTAATGTGTTTGTATCCTAAATGTAACTCTCAAGCTGCATGTTATAATATATTAATATTAAAAAAAAAGAAATAAAAAACGTGCTTCATTAAATACAAACCATCTACTGCAAGTCAGTGTTTCCTACCATTAAAGGGATCACATATGCCTTTGCAAATCTGATGAAAGCTATGTATATAATTTCAGGGAATTCATGGATGTCTTGAAGCCTATATAGAGGTCCTGCAAGTTTAGAGAATCTGTAATTAGTAGAAAAAATGGAGTCCAAAATCAATCAAAAACATAGGAAAATTTAATATATGAAAAAAGGAATTGTAATATATGAAAAAAGAACTGTAACATACAGTGGAAAATGATTTATTAGTATATTATTTGCCATAAGTTGCTATTCACTGGAAGAAACTATAATAAATCTCTATAAATATATGAATGCTTTAATGAACTAAATGTAAAAAATAAAAATTCTAAGATATATAATAAATATATCTATATATAATAAAATTATAAGATACTATAACAAAATATAGAGAATGTACATAATCTTGGTTGGGGACAGTCTTCTCAAATAACAGAAGAAACCTACTTGCCTAAATTGATAGATGTGACTGTGTAAATTTTGTAACTTATGCATAAGCTTACAGAAAGCTTTACACTTACAGAAAACAACTGCATCCTTTTTTTTTCCTACAACAGAAATAACCTATTTCAGTCGTTTCATTGGGTAAAATAATTATGTTCATTATTTGGATATAAACAAGGAGCAGACATTACACTAAACCAATTTCTTTGAGTCAGAAATTAAGATTTTCCCAGAATTATATTCATTCTTAGCAATAAGTGCAATTAAACATTGATATTACCGTTTAAAAATTCTATTCAAACTGCTAAATCTTAGTGTAATGTCAATATAAAGTCCAAGCAGCCTGGTATAATTAAAGAAGCACATGATTTGGAATCACACATACCTGGGTTCCAATCCTGACTCCGCCACTATTAGTTATGTGGTCAAGTTATACAACCTTTGAGCCTATTCCTGCATTTGTAAAAATAGCTTTCTGTGGTGTTCTTGGAAGATCACATAAGAATATCGCATATGGAAGTGCCTAGTACAGAGTCTGAGTGTCAAACTATGCCTTCTTCTGCCTTCCTTCCCTAAGTAAGATTACTAACTGGGAACATCTGTTTTAGTACTGTCTTTTGTAAGACTTTTTAAGAAATCGAGACTGCTGACATAAAGTTAAACATTTTACTTGCCATATTTTTGCAGCTCCAGAGCATTATTAGTCCTTCAAGTGTTTTGTATTTGAGCTCCTTTTCTTGGCTCATTTTTGAGTATGTGATTTGATCTATATTTACTATTTCTGATAGAATTTAAAGGTTTCTTGTAAAAAATCATGGGGAAAAAAACACATTATTTTCTACCTGTGGCTTTCTACATGTTAAGATAATCCTCTTTTGAAGAACAATTAGTTTGTGTCTATGGAAACCACTCTCAAGTGTTATGAAAAAAAATCTGAGGCAAAAAAAGAAAATAAAAATTTAAGTTATCCTAGCCACTGAAACGTGCTCAAGAAATATAAATAGCGATACAACAAAGAAGAAATACGAATCTTATGTTTAATATAACTTTCAAATTTCTCTAAAAGGAGTCATTTTTTTTCTGTAAAGTTGGATCGTTAAAGAGGCCAGAAAAATGACCCCGAATGCTAAGTGGATCCAAACAAAAAGGAAACGTGTATTGGCCAACATTCGATGTTTAAGGTGAATAATTCTTCCATCACACAAGACACATAATTAATAAAGTCATGGTAAATAAATTTGATATCTCTTCAAAACTGTACAGGGTAAGTTTTACCCTAGAGTTGAGGAATGGAATTATCCTTAGCTCCTCCTTCAACTTTAGCTGCACTTCAATTAGATTTATTTGATACTCTTTGATAGACTGATCTTTAAAATGTTTCCAAGGCTTTTTGCAAAGTCTGCCAAAACTGCAAATAGGCAGCTATCCTTCTAATACTACAATTATTTACTAATACATTTTTCCGTAATGTTAATTATCACGCACAGCAGAATCTAGCTGTTACTTAGTCTAAATGATTTTGCTGATGGTATTTTATTGCTTGCTTCTCAAAAAGTATTTAAAACAATACTGAGGTGAAAGAATATACACAAACACACTTCACATTACTTTTCCATATTCAAATTACAGCCTCGAGCTGATTTTTAAATGCCATGTACATTTTTAAATCAAAATGTATCGCATTCTTTTAACACTCCCTCCCCCACCCCAAAATCCTCCCAAATGCCAAAGTTCCCTACTAATCTGAAAGCACCTATTATCTGCATTTTTCTGGTCTTTCACAACTTCAGACTCCAACATTATATACTTCAGACCCCTTCTCTCATTAAAGTAAGCACTGTTAACTCCTTAAGGTACTTAAGCATATGGTTTATTTATTGCATAATCTTACTTTTCCTTCCACCAACTTAAATCTCACTATAATTCCCCTTCAGCGTTCCCTTCTCTCCTAAATGCACATCAATATTGCCGGGGGCCACAGACGCAAACATTCCTCTTCGTAAACCCACAATATTAATAAAATTTAGCTCCACTAAAAAAAAGTACTTAAATGCCTCGATGCCTCCTTTCAGTACCACGCTGAAGCTTTTTATTTGCTTTCCTGTCCTACCTTGGCAGCCTCTTTCTCCCATCAGTTGTGTGGTCCCTTGCTGCCCCCAGCACAAGAGTGCAACTCACTACAGTGTATTTCTCTTACCATCATTCCCAGTATCTCCCTCCATTTCCGGGCATCTATCCCTTCATGAAGCTCCCCGTCCCCAAAAGATGTGCCTCCAGGTACCCACACCTAAAATTAGAATACCCCTCGACTGACACTGCCAGGGCTTTCCGTAGACTCAAGGAAACACACAAGGCTAAGCGTTCCTGCCTCCTCTAGCAGTTCCCGCTCCCCACCGAATTCGGTCTTCTCTTGCCGTCTCCCCGGGGGAAATGCCTACTTCTGGTAACCCTTAGGCACGGGAAAGCCCACCTTAGCAACCTCTGCCCGGTGACCTCGCGAGCCCAGCACGTCCCTCAAGCTTAATTCACACCATTCTTGGAGCTTGTGTTTTCGATGCCCCCAGTCCCAGCTCTCGATGCAAGCTCTTTCACCCTCTTGCCCCCGAGCCAGACCGCAGGTTAGACGATAGCCCATTTACTCCGGTCGCAATGCCTCCTCGGCCCGGCCCCTTCCACACCACTCACCCCGGAGTGGCTCTGCTCCTTACCTAGCTTCAATCGGGACTCCTCCAATTTCTGGATTTGGTTCTCCAAGAAGAGCATCCCCACTACGAAGGCCACCACCGCCAGCAGCTGCAACTTGGGCGGCATCATAATCCTAAGGAGCCCCATGAAACCCGCTGCTCGGGATCAAGACATACCGCGGGGGGCGGGGAGCGGGGCCCCGGAAGCGAGTGAGACGCCGGGGGGAGCCCACCGAGCCGAGAGAAAGGCAAGGAGAGCGCGACAGCGAGAGAACCACCGCAGCGACCCCCCTTCTCGCCTCCCCACTCCCCCGCCCCCAGGCGCCAGCACCAACGCCGCCGGTGCCCGCTTCTCCTGGACCGACTCAACGGCCGCCCCCTCCAAAAGCCCGCGCAGCAAACACAGTGCGAAGCGGCTGCCGGGCTCTCGCCTCTCTACTGCCTCAGTCCCCGACCCCCGCGCCCGCCTGCCCGCCTCCTTCTCTTCCTTCCTTCCCTCCCTCCTTTGCTCGCGGCCGCGCGCTCCTCCACCAGCGCTGCGGCTGCGGCTGCGCCGCCCTCGGCTCCGCCCCCTGCCCATCCCCCGCCACCCCCACGCGCACGCATCCACGTACGCTGCTCGGCAACCAGAGGCTCCACCCTCTGCTTTCGTTCTGTTGTGCCTATTGGACCGAAGAAACACGGAGCCTCACTCTTGGTTCGTGTTACGGTTGGTTTCCTTTGCCATGGGTGTCAACCAAAGCGGCATTCGATTGGGTAAACTTGGAGAAGGCGGGCTGAAGCCGGCGAAGGCGCGGCTTCTTGGTGGCTGGACGAAATGTCGTGAATAAAAGGAAGGGGCTCAGAGCGGCACAGATTTGGGGAGTTTAGGAAAATGCCTGATAGGGGTTTCGAAAGGACCCAGCGACATTATATTTATGTCAAATATAAAGATATTTGACCACCTTTAAGTTTCAACATACCCTTAGGTAATACCTGTCTCTGCAGAGTAAGAGACTTGATGACAACGACCTTTAACATCCTGTTTTGGATCAGGCTCTGGAGTGGACGCCCCTAGTTGAGGGGTCCTCCGGGCAGTCGGAAACCTACGAAAGATGGTAGCGATGGCGGCTGGGCCGGGTGGGTTGCTCCCGCTGGCGTTTGGGCTGCGATTGCTCTTGGCTGCTGTACTTCAAACGGTGAGTGGAGATCATCTCCGCGGCAGCCCAGGGCGAGTGGGGAATGTTGCGCTGAGGAATACGAAACATTCGACCCTGCATGGTAGCCACACTTGGAGAGGCTGGGAGGACTGGGCTTCCTTAGCGACTGCTGCGGCCGGAATGCTACGTGGCTTCATTCCTCGTTTGATGCTTTTCCTTTCCCGCCCCGGATTTCTAGCGGTTCTTTCTCCTGACTTCAGAATATCTTGAGTAGTACTTACATTTTGCAGAGTTCCAGCTAAAAACAACCTGTAAACCACACATTGGGCGGGGGGGAGGGGAAGAGGCAATGAATCTTAGAAAGGAATGAAGATTGTTTTTAAACGGGCAGAATACAAGGAACTACCGTTCTTTGTGATAAGGCTCCCTGAATCTTAGAAGAAAGCCCCCAAGTCTTTGGTCTGGGGTACACTTCCTGTTTACTTTTTTCTCTCAGTTGTTAGTGGTCTCTAATTCTTTATCTCCGAGCTCTGTTATTCACGTGCTGCTGGGTGCATTTCAGTGCCATTTGTGGTTTTAAACAACCTTGTTGCAATAAAAGGAGCTACTCTATGCTAAAGCATAATTTTTTTTTTTGAAATCCATTTTCTAAAATGATAGCCTTCATCTCGTTTAAAATCGGGCAGTGTTAACCAACTTTTTAAATTAGTTCTTAACACAACAGACGCGTTCTTAATCTTTGAATGGGGAAGGACTAATTTGGTCTTATTTTTCTATTCATTCATGTACAACTTAATATTGGTTGATTCCTCCTAAGAAGCTTGCGATCCATGTTTTGCCTTATGAATAACTTCTTTTTTTCTAGGCACTGCGGGAGATTTTACACGTTTCATTAATCAGATTAATTCTTCAGATATTTTCATTACTGAGCCAGCTGAAAAGTTTTCTCCTAGGAGACCTGGTTTCATTGACTTAAGCAAGGTTTGAGGAAGTTAGGGCCTATACCGAAGACATCCATAAACAGCCCGTGCTTTTCTTTCCTCAAAGAGTTTGAAGTTCCTGCCCGGTTTTGTTTGTTTGTTTGTTTGTTTGTTTGTTTGCAACCATACCTTAAAGGTGGATTTTTAACTTCTCTAATTAGTATCATAGTATTCTGTTATGCAGGCATTTGGGGCCCTTTAGAAATTACTGAAAGAGCCCTCTCTAAACTTTCTACTGGAGGTTTTCTCCTTTTTTTTTCTTTGCTAATCTTCAATAATTAGAGTCCACCACCATACAGAGATAAGGAGTAACATTTCATGTTGACTTCTCCTGATTTCTCTGTCTTTAAATATCTATGTTGTGTAACCACCCCAAAATTTGGTGGCTTGAAATAACAATTTCTCATAATTTTGTGGGTCTGCTGTGCAGTTCCTCTGTTGATTTCCTCTGGGTCATGTACGGAGCTGCACTGAGCTAGTAGGTCCCCTGAACTGAAAGATCCAAGATGGCTTCATTCTTAGTTGGTGCTGTCAACAAGGGTGACTTGGTTCTCCTCCGTGTGACCTCTCATCCTCTAGCCCGACTTCTTTTCATGGCAGTCTCAGAGCAGCGCTCCTAAAGAGCAAAAGCTGCAATGCTTCCTGAAGCCTAGCCTTGAAAATCACAGATACCACTTCCACCTCACGATTTTTGTCAAAGCAAATCACAGGACCAACCTAGATTTCAGGGATGGAGAAACAGACTCCATCTCTGTATAGGAGGAGTGACAAACTCAGCAAAGAAATGTGCATACCAGGATAGAAGGAATTTAGGGCCATTAAATAATCTACCACCGTGACTGTCCACATAAGTCAAAAAGTCGGTTAATCATCTTTGACTTTTTTTTTTTTTAACATACCTCACATCAGGCAATTACCAAGTCTTATTGATTTTACTTCCTAAATATCTCTCAGATCCATGCACTTAATGTTAATCCCTCATTCAGGCCACCAACATCTCTTTCGTTAGCATTAATAACCTCCTGGTTCACTCTTCTAGCTATCACTCTTCTAGCTTCAACCTAAATGGTTGGCTTTGTCAGCTTCCCAATTGCCCAAGCCAGCAAGTAGTCATTTTAAAATTCTTTTTCAGTCTCTGAATCCAATCAGTCATTAAACCCTTGAAAATCTCCAAGCCAGTCCACTTAATTCTGTGTCCACAGGCAGTACCTAAATTTAGGCCACCATTTTTGTTTGCCTGGAATTCCCACAACAGCTTCCTTAAACTGGGTTCCATATCTCATTTTCTCCCTTTCTAATCCAATCTCTACAGTACATCAACAGTCATCTTTTTTAGAAGTTTATTATTAAAATTCTTCAGTGGTTCCCTGTTGCTTTTAAGGTGAAGTCTGTTCTCCTGAACATTCCTTAACAAGGCCTGTTTCACCTGATACTTATTTGTTTAGCCAGCTTAATTCCCAGAACTACCTCTACTGCAAGAGCCAAAAGGTAAGGTGAAGAATTGGGGTCATTTGTTTTAACATATCTCACATACCATGTTCTCCCTCACCAGGCCCAAAGTAAAGTATTTAGATAAAATCCAAAGCTTAATTTACATACCACCTCCAGATATGCAAAGTCAGATATACTCTCTCCCTTGTATATTCCATCATCATATCTTACACTGTATTACACGGATCCACAATCTTAACAGCACCATACCTCTGTGTATGTGTTTGTATCCCTCCACTCCCCCACTCCTGTGCCAAGAATGTAGCTAAAGGGAATACAGAGACCTTATTTTGTTTTTTGTTTTTGTTTTTTTTTAATATATTGTGCCTCATATGTATTTGTTCACTAAAATCCCTCAGGGGTGTGCCTGGTTGGCTCAGCCAGTTAGGTGTCCTCCTTTGGCCCAGGTCATGATCCCAGGGTCTGGGATCCAGTCCTGCGTCGGACTCCCTGTTCAGCAGGGAGTCTGCTTCTCCCTCTGTGCCGCCCCTCCCCCTGCTTATGCTCATGCATGCACACAAAAAAATAATTAAAATCTTTAAAAAATAAAATCTCTCAGAGGTGTGAATGGCCTCATAGTTCACTTGTGTTTGTTCCTTGCTATCAGAATCCTCAGGATATCTGTAGTTTGTGCAGATTGGTGATGAGCCCCACTCGCTCCCACAAATACAAAATGACTCCAAAAATAGAGAGTCCTGAGCAGTTCATCCTTGTTGAACTATTTTCACTTCCTGAACATTTATTTCTGTCTCTTTCTTGGGTAATGAGTGGTGTTTTTAAGAAAATAAGGCAATAAATTCCTTGAGAAAGAAAAGGGTAGTATGAAGGATTGTTGGAAAAACACTAAAGAGTTAGAAAACTGCATTTCACTGTTAGTCTGAAGGAGGGGAAAAAGACCAGGTGGAATAAGTTGTTGGCAGTGGTTTAAAAAAAAAAAAGCCAAATCTTTGGAACCTGACAGGTGAATAAGAAGGGAATGAGGGAAGAATTTCTTGGCACCTTGAGGTTGAGCTACCAAGATGGATAGAGGACTTAGTTCCTACTTTGTTAATTTACACCTCTGAGTCCTTAGACTAGACAAGTTTTATCACTGTGCTGCTGTGTAGCCCTAATTTAAAGTTAATAGCAATGCGTAGTTCTCAGCATTCCGATGAGGTGACAACTGGGAGGATATAAAGTAATTTAATCTGAAAATACATTGTGAGTATGCTTTAGCATTAGAAAAGTAATATCTTAGTATGGCCTATGGGAGCTGTTCTCTGGAGCACCCCAGAACTAAGTGGCATTCAAGGCTTCATTCAGCTCATACATAATATTTCTTCATTCAAAAAGGCACTATACGGGGACGCCTGGGTGGCCCAGTCAGTTAAGTATCTGCCTTCGGCTCAGGTCCAGGGTCCTGGGATCTAGTCCCACATCAGGCTCCTTGCCCAGCGGGGAGCCTGCTTCTCCCTCTGCCTGCTGCTCCCCCTGCTTGTGCTCTCTCTCTTTCTCTCTGACAAATAAATAAAATCTTGGGGAAAAAAAGAGGCACTGTACTGAAAGCAGTATAGAATGATACTGTGTATCTTTGATTCTGAGACACAACACCTTATCCTCCTTCAAGGTTAACCTCCATCCATCTTATTACAGTGGGCTGCACAATTATAATTGCCAGCGTTTTTGTTATTATTCTTAGTGGTACATATGATAATGGTGCATGAAGGATTCTGTGAGATACGATAGTTAATAATAAGGGTTTTGAGGGCTGATCAGGATTAGAATCTTGATACTGCCATCCGTTATGCTGTGTTGTCTTAGATTACCTTAACTATCCTATTTAAGCCTCTATTTCCCTCTCTGTAAAATGGGGGTAAAACCTATTTCATAGGGGCCTGGGTGGCTCCGTTGGCTGAGCGGCTGCCTTCGGCTCAGGTCATGATCCCAGGGCCCTGGGATAGAGCCCCACATTGGGATCCCTGCTCAGTGGGAGGCCTGCTTCTCCCTCTGCCCCTCCCCCTGCTTGTGTTCCCTCTCTCGCTGTGTCTCTGTCAAATAAATAAAATCTTTAAAAAACTTAAAAAAAAACCTATTTCATAGAGTTGTTAAGATTAAATGGATTAATGATGTAAAGTGCTTAGCGAAATATCTGGTGCTTTGTGAGAGCCTGCTGCCATGGCAGTGTTTCTGGTAGTCATTTTCATGGGGTTCGTATGTGAACCCATCTATTTGGTTTAGTCTCAGATTTGAAATCTCTTCACAATTACATGAGAAACCTATGAGTTTTCTGAGATTAAGGACCAGTTAAGAGAAAACTAATCATGTATGTATAATAAAATGTATATCTATACCAGACTTTTGCCTGAAAATGTATTGTTACAATATGGTTAATCCAGTTTCTCCGCCAACAACCCTCATCTACAAAGAAATAATAATACCAGAAAAATAAATGAGTACTGCATGGAAAAATTAAAATTTTGAACATCTATATTATTTAGCAATTGATATTTATTAGGGAAGTACTTAAAAATATGTTCTGATATCCTTAGATTCAAACCCTTGAGGGGCACCTGGGTGGCTCAGTTGGTTAAGGGTCCTACTCTGGATTTCGGCTCAGGTCATTATCTCAGGGTTGTGAGATGGAGCCCCACATCAGGCTCGTGCTGGGCATGGAGCCTGCTTAAGATTCTCTGGCTCCCTCTCTCTCTGCCCCTCCCCCCTCCCCCCAAAACACAGAGCCTTGAGTCTGCAAAACTAATGATAGAAGAGCTAGAAAGAAGTAGTTCACTCATGAAACTCAAGTGAGCCTTGTATCTCCACCACACTTATCCTTTATCCCATCTCTAATAATTAAAACATAAGTAGTGTTTTGTATCTCTTGAGGGTTTTTAAGAGTACTGGAAAGTGAATAATGCAAACATCTATCAGGTACCCACTGGGTCCTCGGTAAAAAATTAGATGATTCCTGTACTTTTTCTCCTTTAATCCTCAAAACTTTGTGAGATAAATGGTAGTTATTCCTATTCAGAAATTCAGAAGTAAGGTTGCTCTGTGCTGGCATTTGAATCAAGATGTCATCAGACTCCAAAACACATGTTTTGCATATTTATGCCACCTGTCAGTAGGTGCTCAATAAATGCCAGAATAAAATCAAATAGTATGATTGCATGATCATTCATTTGAAATTTTTGTTTTTTGAAACATGCTTTGGCAATAACAATTTCTTATATTTGTTAAGCAGGTCATGGTTTCAAAGTGATTTCACTTTTATTGCCTGTTTTAGTTACCATGGCTGCAAAACTGATCACCATAAAATTTAGTGGTATAAAACAATTATTTTGCTTTTAGATTCTGTGGGTCAGCAATTCAGACAGGTCACAGCAGGGTGAGTTGTGTGTTCCATGATGTCTCAGCTGAAAGGTCTGAAATATGAAGTTCTTTATTCAGATGTCTACTAATTGATGGTGGTTGTCAGCTGGGGGCTTCAGTTGCTCTCTACATGGGCCCCTCCATGTTGTCCCTCTAATTTAGGTTACCTTACAGCGTGGTGGCAAAGTTCGAAAATTTAGTGTTCTGAGAGAGGCAAAGACACAGCACGTAGGAGCATTAGCCATTCAGAGGCTGTTTCCTTTTTTATGACCTACTGTCAAAAACCACACAGTATCCCTTCTTTTGTACTCTGTTGATCAGAATCAGTCACAAGCCCTTGCCCAGATTCAAGGGGAGGGAAAACAGCCTCCTACTTCCCACGAGAGGACTGCCAGTCACATTGTAAGAACACCATGTGCGATGATGTATACATATTGGTGTGGCCATCTTTGGAAAATACAGATTAACCTGTGAAATAGATCAAGCATATCGCTTTACTAATCAAGAAATTACTCAAAGTACTAGTACAGTAATACGTGTCTTAGGTGCCTCCCACAACACTGGGATCTATTTTGAATATTACATACATTCCACATTATTACTGAGAAAAGATGAAAGATGTGTAACGTATCAAATTAAGGTGTTGATTGGCACAAGACCAGTGGGATGATCAGCATTTTGGGAGTGTATGCCAGCACTCCTTTTTTACATTGGCAAATGCACTTGTGTTTTTATCTACCTGGTTTGTCTAGAAGAAGGTTTGACAAACTATAGCTGGTGGGCCAAATCCACCTGGCCCTGTTTATGTGAAGTTTTATTGGAAGACACCCACTCATTTATTTTTGTCTATGCTGCTTTTGTGCTGCCATACCTGAGTTGAGTAGTTGCAACAGAAACCATTTAGCCAACAAAGCCTAACACAGTTACTCTCTGGCCCTCTACATAAAGTTTGCATACCCTTGGTCTAGAAGATCAACCAATTGCAAACAGTCTGAAATTCCCGCTACTTGAGGCTGTAGTTTTCATTTGTTCAGCACAGATGAGAACTAGCTTTAAATACAGAGTAGTAATAGTTTAATGCTTGCCCTCAAAAGAGTTCACAGTACTAGGGAATCAGACAACTCTACATTTACATAGTACAGTGTCGAGTGGTGCTATCTTAGAACTATGCACAAATTTATTTATCTGAAAAGAACTATGGCTAAAGGTTAGGATCTGATCTCCCCCTCCCCCCTCCCAGAGAAGGCTTCCTGGAAGACTGATACTGATCAGGTTCTTGGAAATAAGTAGAAATTTAAAAAGGTGAAAAGGGAGCCTTGGATGTAGGAAAAGTATGAGCAAATGTATGAGTAGGAATTTTATTCTTCCAGGAATTCATTACAGCTGAAAAGTAGAGTGGGATTGGAGAAGTAAAGAAAGGTAGGACTGGCAGTGACCATTTAAGCCACTGAGGCAAGAAATGATTTGAAAGCTCTTTAAGAAACAGAATTGTCAAAACTTGTTAATTAATTGCCTATAAGAAGGCAGAGAATGTAGAATTTAGGATGACTGACCTGGGCAACTAGTGGCCCGGGAAAATGGTGCCATTTTACTAAGATATTGGGTACATTGGGAGGAATAGATTTAAGCAGAAAAGGTAAGTTTCACTGTTGGAGTTTTTGAATTTGCAGTGCCATTGGAACATATAAATGAGGTCAGGCAGGCTGTTGGCTTTGGAAGTTTGAGCTTAAGTAAAAGACTCAGGAGTTTTAAATAAGTGGGTATTTGAAGCCTTGGGAAAGATGCAGTCATCTATAGAAAATATGTAAAGCAAAGACAGAGCCAGAAACAGAAGTGGGAAACAGCAGCACTTAAGGAGGACAAGCCCATGGAAAGAACAGCTGGAGCCAGAACAGTTTTGAATACCTTTGCATTTAGTGGTTTTTGGCAAGTTTAGTTAAATGGTAGGATCAGAAGCTAGACTATAGTAACAATTCAGAAATGACAGAATGTGGGGAGAGCAATTAGAACGGTAAGGTTTGAATACACTGAAGAACTGAGTTACCAATTAAGTTAAATCCCTGTGGAAATGGCAGAAGGTAAGCTCCAAAGCACGAGTAGAGGGATTGACCTTAAATGAAGGTATACCATATTCACTGAGACATGCATGAGAGAATGGATAAGGGAAGAGAACAGATATTTTTGAAAGCCTGCTTTTGCTGGTTGTTCTGATTGGTTGCATAAGTAATTTCATTCATCTTACCTCAATCTATTTTATGTAAGAATTACTGCTTTCCAATATAAATATGTAATAGTGTTTTATTTCTCATTTTGTTTATTTTCAGGTATCTGCATTCGGGGCAGAGTTTTCATCAGAGGCTTGCAGAGAGTTAGGCTTCTCCAGCAACTTGCTCTGCAGCTCTTGTGATCTTCTTGGACAGTTTAACCTGCTTCAGCTCGATCCTGACTGTAGAGGATGCTGTCAGGAAGAAGCACAATTTGAAACAAAAAAGGTATTGTTTTCTAGTATCTCTCTTCCATTAGTTGGTGTAGCTAAGATAAGGTGAAATGTTAAATTGCCTCATCAGCTTAAATATAAAGTCTCTAGCTTTTACATTTTGTAGTTTTAGAAGTCAACTGATTTCTTTCTGGCCCACTAGATCAATTAAAGCAACTAGGAGGGAAAAGTTAAGGTTTATATACTAGGACCCCATTCTACCGTGGTTGTTTAACAGAGGGGTTGCAAAATTACTATAGCATGCTTGGATCCTAAAGTTCTCCAGTCTTCCTAAGTTCTGGCCACATGAAGATGCTTCTATTCATTTGTAATAAGAACTCAGTCTTGAAATGAAATATGAGATGAAATTGTAGTACCTAGGGCGCCTGGGTGGCTCAGTCATTAAGCGTCTGCCTTCGGCTCAGGTCATGATCCCAGGGTCCTGGGATCAAGCCCCACTTTGGGCTCCCTGCTTGGTGGGGAGCCTGCTTCTCCCTCACCCACTCCCCCTGCTTGTGTTCCCTCTCTCACTGTGTCTCTCTGTCAAATAAATAAATAAAATCTTTAAAAAAAAAAAAAGTATAGCACCTACTACCTTTCACATAATTGTAGGTGATAAATAAACTATAACTTTTTATCTAGTTTACAAAGAATATCGTCTGTTAATTTACATGGTTTTTACTAATATTTATAGACACGTAATCTCTTTAACACTTGAAAACAGCCAAGGATAGGTAGTTCTGACTGTCCGATAAAATCTGTTTTGTCCCAATGTTCAAATTAATAGTTAACTTGCTCGATTTTTAAATCTTTTTTTAAGCCCCTACACTTTTTAAAATTCAGAAGCGGCCTGAAAAGATCATTTATATAAGCCAAATAAAACTGAATCAGTGAGTCCCCTGTGTTTGGAATGAGGAAAAAAAGTTAGCATCTCTGTTATGTTTCCTTTTCATATTCTCTTTCACTTGTACATAATGAATTCTGTTTTGAGGTGTTACAGTTTGTAAAGCTTTCCATAATTGTACCCTATAGATAGTAAAAGGTTAATTTCTAACACCAAGTATAGTTTTATCGTTCTAAAAGAAAAATAAGCAAAGCTTTAAAATGTTAATATTTAACCAAAATTTAATATTTGATTTCTCAGTTGTGAACCTGAAATTTCTGCTGTCCCCACAATAGCTTCAGAGTCTTCTGTGTTTTTCATTTTCTTGGTTCACAAATATTGTTGATATATTTTCATGTTTAGAAGGTTTCTAGGGGCGCCTGGGTAGCTCAGTCGTTAAGCGTTAGCCTTCGACTCAGGTCATGATCCCAGGGTCCTAGGATCGAGCCCCGCATTGGGCTTCCTGCTCAGCGGGGAGCCTGCTTCTCCCTCTGCCGTTCCCCCTGCTTGTGCTCTCTCACTCTCTCTGTCAAAGAAACAAAATCTTAAAAAAAAAAAAAAAAAAAAAAAGGATTTCTATACATATGAGTTAGTCTTCATTGCATGTAAGGTCATATCTAAACAAGTTTTAAAAACTTGATTTTAAATAGATTTAAGATGTAGGACTTAACTAGCTTAGCATGACCCTTCCCTCTTAATTTTTGGGGTTTGTTTTTGATTTTTTTTTTTTTATCAGATATTCATATGGGACGAATTGCCAAAGGAATCTGTATGTCATCCTCTAATCATAATGCTGTTATTCTATGGTCCATACTACTACTTCGCTGACGATTATTTCCCAAGGCACCAAACTTAAAGGAATTGAATAACAAGGGGTGTTTTATAATAATAAACAATGTTTATCATATGCAACGTCTTGTAATTAGAGTAAATTGAGAGGCTCTATCCTTTAAGTGATATCAGATATTCCTAAATTGTAAATCAAGTGCATATAAAAGCTATTTTTACTTACTGCCCTTTCTCAGTAATCCTTCATAGCATACCTTTTTTTTTTTTTTTAAGATTTTATTTATTTGAGAGAGAATGAGAGAGAGCACATGAGAGGGGGGAGGGTCAGAGGGAGAAGCAGACTCCCTGCCGAGCAGGGAGCCCAATGCGGGACTCGATCCCGGGACTCCAGGATCATGACCTGAGCTGAAGGCAGTCGCTTAACCGACTAAGCCACCCAGGCACCCAGCATACCATTTTTATGTTATACTTTTACTAGAACCAAGCTTAAATCACACACTTCTCAAATTATATTCCCGTTCGGTTTTAATTATTAATTGAGCTCTGTGTGGTATCTTGACACTTCTCAGCACTTAACAGTTCGGCGATAATCATCAGCAAGTAGTCTACCAGTTAATATATGCCTAACTAATTATACACTGAAATAATTGTAAGTACAAGTGAGGCTGTATCCTAATATAACTTTTATGCTGTCTCCATTGTTTTTTCTTTACTCCTTGCCCATCATCTCTACAATGTACTTTTCATTAAGCATTTGCTTAGCATACTGTTGCACAAAATCAATGAATGGTGGAACCGAAACATGTCAGGAACACTTAGAAATATTGCTGGACATACAAAAGTATGGCATGTCGGACAAGCCTCCATTCAGATGCAAACCACATTCAGGTATAGAAGCAGTACTTCAGTACTGCTCTCATTGGTACATGATCATATGTAATATTATATACAATATTTTTTCTGTTTCAGCCCTGGCTTAAGGCTTAATTTTGAAATCATAGTTTAATTTAGGCTTAGTTTAATAAAAGTAAAAATCTGCAATATGTAGACTAGTGCCTTACATTAAAAACATTAAAAGTACTTAAATATGTCTCTGTGTATATATATGTGTGTGTGTGTGTGTGTAAATCATTGTGAATATAAATTCTTTAGAAAAGAAAATTATATACAGGAGTGTTTTAGCAATTTATATATAAGAAAAAAGTGTAACCAGAATCACTCATTTTGGTTCTTGCTTAGTCATATGGTTTATAGGCCTCTCCAGAGATGAGGCTAATCATTTTTAGTAATGCTTACTCATATAACAGGCTGAATTTAGTCTTTGATAGCCAGAAGCATAAAATTTGCTTTAAAAAAAAAAGCTAGAGCACCTGGGTGGCTCAGATGGTTAAGTATCTGCCTTCAGCTCAGGTCATGATCCCGGGGTCCTGGGATTGAGCCCTGCATCAGGCTCCCTGCTTGGCGGGGGGCCTGCTTCTCCCTCTCCCTCTACTGTTTCCCCTGCTTATGCTCTCTCGCTCTCTCTGTCAAATAAATGAATAAAATCTTTAAAAAAAAAAAAAATAGCAGAAAATGTGTTTGAAATCTCTTATTCTGTAAATACATGCTCCATTATTTTTACTGGGTCTCATTCTCCCCCACCCATTCTGTTCATAAAGGACCTACTAGTAAGCATCACAAATACTAGCTAGAATGAGATTTTTTGATAAGTTATTTTACTACTAGTTTTGCTCATAACTATGTATCTAGGTACCATTTATAAACATTAGGATGTTGGCTTAATTGTAAAGAGTGTAATAATTTATAATTTGAAGAAAAATGTAAAAAATGTAATGAAAGAAAAAATATTTAAATTTAAATATTTAAATCTTGGTGCTATTCTTATACAGTTGGTATTTTATACGGTTAGCATGAGTCACTTCAGCTTAATGTATAGAATCTTAAGATGGAAGGGAAGGGACCATTTTTTTTCTACTACCGACTGACTTCTTCCTTGTGGTGGGACAGCATAGTAACTGCCAGTTTCTGAGTGTTGTATCTTTTAGCTTTTCCCATGAGAAAAGGATTAATTCTTTCTCGTTGACTATTTTTGAGATATTTTAGGCAGGGATTGTTACTAGCTCAAGTTAGATCACTACCAATTGTTAGCTAAGGTAGAGAATAATATAAGGCCCATTGGCTGCCACGGCAGCTATGTGGAATGTTGCCCTGGGGTACAGAGAGATGAAGCACTAAAGAGCAGATATTAGGTAAGCAATCCCATAGATAACTGTCACTCCCCCCCACCAATGACTAGAGTAAATAACTTCTTTTTTTTTTTTTTTTTAAGATTTTATTTATTTATTTGACAGAGAGATAGACAGAAGAGCACAAGCAGAGGGAGTGGCAGAGGGAGACGGAGAAGCAGGCTCTGCACTGAGCAGGGAACCCGATGCGGGACTTGATCCCAGGACCCTGAGATCATGACCTGAGCCGAAGGCAGACGCTTAACCATCTGAGCCACCCAGGCGCCCGTAAATAACTTCTACTTAAGCTGTCTTTAAAGATTTAGTTCAAGTGTCCACCCTTCTGGGAAGGCTTCCCTAATTTCAGCTCCCTTACCTCTCCACCACTAGCACTCCCAGGTTATGTTAGCTATACCTCTATATTCCCAAAGCACTGAGGATACCTTGACATGCACTTACCTTCACTATACTGTATCTATTGTTTTGCTTTTCTTTCTCATCCCATAAAATTACGCTCTTTGAAGTCTAGGACAGTTTTTTTTCTGAATCCCTGGCCTTCAGCATATAGTATTTCATAAGTTTTTGTCCTTGAATGAGGCTGTTTTTACTAAGAGTAAGTTGGAAAAGGTGATCTTTTTTTTTCATTAAACCTTTTTTGAGTGCTTTCTATATACCAGGCACCAAGCTAGGCATTGCTAATACAAAAATTGAAGGGCATTGGAGCACCTAGGTGGCTCAGTTGGCTAAGCATCCAGCTCTTGATTTTAGCTCAGGTCATGATCTCAGGGTCGTGAGATCAAGCCCTGCATGGCTCCACGCTCAGTGCAGAGTTGGCTTGAGATTCTCTCTCTCCCTCTTCCCCTCCTCTCCCCCTGCTCACTCTCTCTAAATAAATAAATAAATACAGTCTTTAAAAAAAAAAAAAATTGGGGTGCCTGGGTGGCTCAGTCGTTAAGCGGCTGCCTTCGGCTCAGGTCATGATCCCAGGGTCCTGGGATCGAGCCCCGCATTGGGCTCCCTGCTCCGCGGGAAGCCTGCTTCTCCCTCTCCCACTCCCGCTGCTTGTGTTCCCTCTCTCGCTGTATCTCTCTCTGTCAAATAAATAAAAAAGATCTTTTA